TCCTGTCAACAAAAACCCGTTGCGTCTGAGGCTGAAACCAAAACACTGGTCGGATCTAGGAAGGCAGGGGGAGTTAAGGCAGAGGCATAGAAATTGCTCTTCCCCTCTCTCATCAATCCATGTCTATGGTCTTTAAGATAACTTGTTATGTAAAATTATTTATTTATCTGAGATGCACCTACACTGAATTTATCCGAAAAAAGAAAAAGTCGATATTAAGAAAAAAATTGTAAATGGAAGATTATAAGAGAGGGTTTGGCATGCCAGCAAAAGTTACTGGCGTGCCACGTTTGGCACGCGTGCCAGGAGTTGCCCACCCCTGAGCTAGGAGCTTTCCTGGAATGAAACTCTTCCCACCTCCTATCATTTTCTTTCAACTTTTTTTTTTTTTTCTGCTGAGAGATTATGTGCCTGAGTGGATGCTTGAACAAGCAACAACCGAGACATTTTTGGTTTGGAGGGACTCAGACATGATGGCAGGAATGAGGGAATCCGCTCTTAGGTGATTCCACGTGGCTTTCCTCACCGCAGCTGTTTCTCTCCCCTCAGACGTGGCCATCGGCGCGCCCATGGAGGACGACTTCTCGGGCGCCGTGTACATCTACCACGGGGACGCCGACGGGATAGTCCCGCAGTACTCGATGGTAATGGTGGGAGCGGGAACTGTTTGTTCATCCATTCATTCCACTTCCCTCTGTGCCACACCCTGGGGGCCAGAGGTGCGGACAACTTCGCTCCTGCCCTCAGCCTTGCCACCCTCTAGTGAAAGGCACCAACGATTGGTACTGCTTATGAAAGAGCAAGACATTTCTAGATTCCAGAGTTTGCTGACATTGAGGGGTGCATTCTGCCGACACAAGCTCATGTCCAAATTCTTACCCAGAGTTAGAGCGATTGATTTAAGGGGAGGCTTTCTTTGTTGTTGGTGTTGTTACTCCTTTGTCAACCGTCTGTGCTAAAGCTGAAGGATCTGTTGTAAAACATGAACTAGAAAGACTGTGATCCACGGAGGAGGGACCTGAAAGCCGCCACAGGGCTGTTGTCCCATTTGGCACTGACAGGAGAAGCAGCTTGTGCTCTGGCCTCATGCCCCAGACTGGGGAACATGGAAGTGGTGAGTTCAGTTTTTTTGTCGTATCAGCTTGGTGTTCAAACTTGCTGATGGTGCCGAGCCCAGCCCCTGGGAAACAGGAAGTGGTGCTCTGGGCAGCAGCACCGCCAGGATGTCTGTGCAGAGAGGGGCCCAGGCCTGTGGCGTGCTCCCGGCGGGTCAGGGACAGGGAGGGACGGAGCCCAAACGGAGAAATTCCCCATCAGCAAATACTGACTTATCGAGCGCTTATTATGTGCTCCCGCCTTCCTGCTCATGCTTATATTTCTCATCGCGAAGAGGATTATGGCTAAGGAAACACAGTGTTGAACGGAGCCTTGCTTTTATAAAAGGTTCTATAAATGTTCCATAAAATGAAATGGTAGTAAAATACCAAAACCAGCTCCCGTCCTGAAGTTCCTATGTAAGGGAAAAACAGACTTTACAAGTTGATTTTTAGAGGCAGTACGCCCTGGGAGGTCAGCTTATACATTCATAGTTGTTCTTCTTGCTGCACTAGAAGTTGGCTGCTTACGGGCCGAGGGTCGCTGCCTGTGGGGCGTCAGGCTCCCTCTGGGCAGGGCCTCCTGCTCCGTGTGTGACTCCAGGGGACAGATACCGAGTGGAGGGACAGCTCTGCCTCTTACCTTGAATCCTCCTAACATCCATGTGAGACGAGTACTTTTTTTTATTATTATTGCTTAAAATATTACAAAGAGTAGTACATATATCTCCTTTTTTTTTTTTTATCACTTGACCTTCCCCTGGCCTCCCCTACCCCCCGTTTCTTGTGTCCCAGACGAGTACTTTTATCACCCACCTTTTATTTGTGGGGTGACTGTGGCCCAGGGAGGTCCTTTAACTTGCCCAACATGTGGCAACATGGCCATCGAAATTGCCAGTCTGACTTCCAAACCTTTCGTTGTACCCACCACCCTCTGCTGCACTTCGGAGGAAGGACCTCGGGCGGAAGCCCAGTGGGAAAACGTAGGAATGTGGAAACTTCGCTGTGAGACATAGGTGCTCCAAGGGGCTTTTATCTACATGGATCTTCCACGTTTTATCAGAAAAGAACCAGGGATGGTGGGAATACGCTCTTAGGGGATTCTGCCAACGTAGCGAAGGGAGAGGGCTGCAGTCACAGTTGGGGGTCCCATGCGCATGCATCACCAGGGCTGCTCTAGTCTGAGTCGGGGGCACCCTTCCCCGGGGCCACAAGCTGAGGGTTCTTGCACATCGCCCCGGAACTCATTCCTCTTTCTTGAGTTCACCGTGAAGAGTGTTGGTTTAGGATCCGTGGTGCCTTTCTCAACTCGAGAGCCCTGGTGGCGGCCC